CATGATGGATCTGGAATTAAGAGGTAGTCTGTCTCCTCACATTCTGTCGGCTAAACCATGATGCCTCATATTTTTATTAATTGAATAGTGTATCTGAAGTAGAGAAGAGTGCTGGGTTTGCATCCTGGCTTTACCAATTACTGTCTGTGAGACCTTGGGCAAGTTACTTATCCTCTCTTAACCTCAGTTTCTACATACACAAATTGGGAAGAATAATATGCAAGTGTTCAAATATTTTGCAGATGTAAAGCATTTACTGCTATATCTGGCAGAGTTTAGTGTTTAATATATTTAAGTAATGCTGCTGCTTGGATTTCAGTATTAACTGGCCCCATGCTTATTTTTTTTTTATTATTTTCTGATATTAACATTTTACTCTGCAATTCCAGGTCTCTTCTCTGGTCCCTATACTTGCCATGTAAATTCTTGCTTTTCCCCTTTTTATGCTGTTTTCTCTAACTAGGAATGTTTTCAGCTTATAAATGTTTTCAGTGTATATCCTTCCTGCTAGATTCTGTCCATGTCTTTTGTTCTTAATAATAGATTCCTGCCCTCACTATTTGTTCACACATAACCTTTGTTCTAAAGTGTGTCTTAGTGTTTGTCTCCATATGTATGCATATCCTAGTCTTCATGCTTAGCATGTGTTTCTCCTCCCCTAGTTAAAAACTTAAGACAACTCAAATGCTCCTTCCTTTGTAAAACTTTGCTTAACTGTCCCTCAGAAACAGAAACTTCCCTAATATGTTCTGTATCTCAACACCTACAACAGAACCCAATATATAAACATCACAAAAGAATTGTTTGTTGAATCAATAAATTATTTTTGCTTTCTTTTTTCTCATATGTCATTGATCGATAGGACTACCAAATTTAGCACATTTTATATGGTATAACAAAAAATTACTGGTTTTAGAGCCTGAGGCTTCAGCTAAACTCCCGACTCTTATAGTAGTTATGTGATACTGGGCATATTACATAACTTCTATAAGCTTCTATTTTGTCCCCTATAAAATGAAAAGCACACTTATAAGAATATTGTGAGAATTATTTGAGAAAATGTGTATAAAAGAAGGATCCATAAGTACAAGTTAATAGGATATGAGCTATGTGTGAATGAGGCAATAAATGAATAAGTAAATGAATAGTGAAATCCAGGCTGAATAAGTAAATGAATAGTGAAATCAAGTCTGTGGTGTAAAACTGCATCCAAAAACAATAAGGAAATGCATGTGTATAAAAGCAAGAATATAATGACACCATTTTGTATATATGTAAAGCATATATAGAAATCTTTTAGCCAATCCTTCGCCTTTACTTTGAAAGGTCAGAAGAGTAGGAAATTATTTCTAGCTAGGTCAGGGAAATTTTAATGGAGATGATATTTTGCCAAACTTTGAAGGACAAAATGATTTGTATGTGTAGGCTGGAAGGAGTATCTCCATGTGCAGGGGCCTGCGTGTAAAGAAGTCTCTGCCACCAAGAAAGAGATAAAACTTTCAGTGTACGTAGTAAATGCTATAAAAAGTATGGTGCAAAGGAGAGAGTAGTTAACTGTGCAAGAAGTGATCAAGGTAGTCTTCAGAAACAGATGAGGTGGGACCAGCCCGTGGCTCACTCGGGAGAGTGCGGTGTTGATAACACCAAGGCCACAGGTTCGGATCCTATATAGGGATGGCCAGTTGGCTCACTAGCT